AGTGAACTTTAAAGTGCTCTGTCCTGTGCTAATAGATGCAAAGGCACACGCACACAGCAGGGAGACAAGCAAACAAGTGAGGGACTGCAAATAAAGTGCAATACAGCATATGTGTATGCATGTATGTGTGTACATATGTCATCCATCGTCATGCGTGTACACGGCTGGCCACAAACAGGATTACATATGCCAGGTTTTTTTATTAGTGCACTCTGTGAGTGCAGTAGTGCAAGTACAGCTCTCCATCCATCATAACCGACCTTAGCTTGCATTCAAAGGTGCTAGCACCAAATCCATAGCTCCATGATTAAGAGATTTGTAGGGAGCACCATACACTCGTTGGATTAGAATACATGTATCCAGCAGACACACACACACACACACACGCACACACACACATAAACACATAAACACATGTGTCTAGGTGCATGTACATGCACAAACATTTGGACATGCACATACCATGTGTATGTGTATGTCGCCGACCTATTGCAGCGGCTTGCAATTGTTTTCTCGAGGAGGTCTTGGACATCACAGACTGGGTACATCACATGCAGGCGCATCGAGCCCAGGGGAGCGGGAGATCCTCTAGAGGATCTCAAGATCCATGCTGAGCACCACCGTAATGGCTTCTGACCATCCATGGGCCCCCTTGGCTCCCAGAGGTGGTCCCCATCCTTGTGCTCACTTTTATGTATATGTTACATTCTGGACAACATTGAAGTCCAAGGGGGGGAGTTGTAAAAGTTTATCATTGTGATAGAGGATTGGTGCTTGTGATGTCGCAGGCTCAATTCCCACTCAGCACATTATGATGACACTTCAAATCCATGGGATGAACCTTGCTGTCATTGAATCCAAGCCAAAACAGAGTACAACTTGTACAGTACAAGACATGTGCCAGAGCATATCTGAAGTGGGCTCCAGGAAAGAAGGGATGGTAGACAACGCCAAAATCACATGCTCAAAGTCGGTTTCAGAACAGACAGGCAATACATATAGGGATTCAAAAACTCTACACATCTCTAGATAGGGGCTGCATACACATATATAACATAACACAATTCTGAAGATAATTAGCTGTCCTCGACACTTTCATCCCTTATTGCATGTTGGGCGATATTCATGGCCATTATTATTGTCACCGTAGCTTCTCGTAGCGCAGCGAAGAGCGAAGCGGAGGGAAGGCATCTCTGAATCGCGTCCGTGACCGGCTCGCGTCCGGAGCTCGTTGGAAAGTCGCGCTCGATTGGATGGTTCCGGAGCTTTGGGTTTTCGTTAGCGCGCCCCCTCTTCACAATCAGAGGTCGCGGGTTCGAGTCGCACTCCGCGAATTTCGAGTTGCACACCGAAACACGAGGACGCGAGGACGACAGGTCGCGGGTTCAAATCACGGGTCGCACACGAGTTGCACGCGAGGATGCGAGGACGCGAGGACGCGAGGACGCGAGGACATCAGGACATGAGGACGCGAGGATGCAAGGCCACATGGATGCGTGAGCGTGTGGGCACGTGGGCACATGGGACCGTGGCACCGTGGATGTAGCCACACGTGGATGTAGCATGGACGCGTGGACACGTGGACGCGGGACATGAGGATGTAACATGGGCGTGTGCATGAAGCGTGGACGCGTGCATGTGTACCGTGAACATGTGGGCGGGGACACGTGGATACTGGGCCGCCAGGCCATGGGGACGACTGGGCACGGTGGTGGGTAACGAACAACAGATGCGCGTAGTTGTGTTGTTCAACTTGAACTTGCAAGGTTAAACGTTTATCACAAAATATCAGGATAACTGGGTACGCCTGGGTGTGGCTGTGGTATATCCACGTAGTTCCACTGTGGGACAGGACTTGCAGTGGAAAACTAGACTACAACGGCTCAGCCACGAAATGATGTGAAGTTGCGCACACCGCAACATTCCCCGGGATAAAATACAGTCGCAGAAAAATTAGATAGAATCATACGGATTCAGAATACATTCTATCAACCAGCGATGCTGCGCAGCACAGTTATTGTATAGAAGTAATGTGTGCCATTGGCCCTCGAGTGCATTTATCAATTTTGTCAAACGGATCCAGGATAAAATTTATCATACGGATTCAGGAAAAAATTCTACCAAACAGCGGTGCTGTGCAACATACATCCATATTGTATCAATGTACTGTGTTCCATTGGCCCTCAACTGCATTCCTTGAGGATAGGAGGATAACCTGTAGCGACATCAGTCTGACCGGCCATTTCTATGGACAATTCTGGTTCCGGTAAGGAGTCCTGGTTGGGACTGATGCCCGTGATGTTGCTCCATCTCCTGCATGGGCAGTAGACTAGTAATCCTCTTCATGGCATCATGCAGGATGTCGGCGGTTAGGTACAGTTGCAGGTGGAGGCTCGTGGCTTCTGAGCTTGATGGGCCAGACTCAAGCCACACCTTCCCCCCCGACACCCCAGCTGTCCAGTGCGGATGCAACCAGAAAGGTGCAGGCACGAGCCAACCAGACACCTGAGCAAGTGGCGGCAGATCGAGCAGCAGCTGCAGTGTGATGGGCAGATGCACGAGCCAACCGGACACCTGAGCAAGTGGTGGTGGACCGAGCAGCAGCTACTGCTCGGTGGGTGCGGTGGTCGGAGGCGTGAGCCAACCGAACGCCTGAGCAAGTGGCCACACATCGAGCAGCACATGCAGCTCGGGTTGCGTAGGTGCGAGCCAACTGAATGCCTGAGCAAGTGGCGGCAGTCCAAACAGTGGACACAGCTCGAAAGTATCAAGCCCATGCGATTTGGCAGCAGTCATCTGAGGAGCACACACCACAAAACACCCGCCGCAGCAGGGGTAGCCTTGTGGAGGCAGTTTTGGATGCTGCCTTCTGGGTGTTCAGGCGGCCGACAAACCCCACCAAGCCTCGTATGGGTGCCTGGTTAGACAGCAGTACAGCTTCATGGCCAGAACATGTGCAAGATGTTCCTGCGGGTCAGCCTCTGCCCACTGTTCCTCTAGCGGAACAGATCCGAGTCACGGAACAGCTTGATGCCGCTGTCAAAAACAACATGCCATCCTGTGTCTGCGCCTGCTGCAGTGAGATGAAGTCCGCGGTACAGGCACACGGCTACCAGTTTGGTAACATCCCCAACGTGCACCAGTTGCGTGCAGATGTTTGGAGGATGCTGGCAGTGGCGCGTCCAGCTCAAGTCGTCACATGGCTACCAGTGGCAGCCGCACCAGGGGGCAGAGCACCACCACTGCCTGAGCCAGCTTTGCCGTGGGGCTTCCAAAAATACGTGGCTCAATGGGCATTCTACAGAGAAGATGGGGCTCACCAAGCGTCCTGGTACGACAGGGGACTCTGGTGGTTTGGATGACCAAGAGCACCGCCAGCCCACCCAGCAGCACAGTTCGTTGCAACAGGTGCACGGACCATTTGGGCAACACTGGAGCATACGGCTTCCCGGAGGACTTTCCGCCACATGAGGCGGGCCCATCTAGTCTGCCACGGCGGTGTCGGTGTGAGACGGATGGTGTTGATGACGAGCAGGAGTCTATTCTTTCCGATGAAGAAGTGGAAGTGGATGCGACATGGCCACAAGACACGGACGGCCAGCATGAGGAATGGATGCTCCCTTCATGGCTGCCACAACCTGGCATGGAGCCACGGCCGGATCCCACTGCTCCAGGTGTGTGGCTAGTGCCGTACTGCATGCATGTGGAGCACTCTGGGGAGAATTGTACAGTGCACACCAATGAGGCTGGCGACGATATCATCATGATGTGCAATGACTGCATTCATGCCTTGGAATGTAAGCACTAAACACTGGGTCGGGGGAACGAATATGTGGCAACATATGTATTTGATGGGTTTTGGCGGCTGCTTTCCTGTGGGATGTTGTTCGTTGTGGCCGGTTCTGGGGTAGGCTGCTGGGACATACACGTTTCATGAGAATTTGCATGTGGTGCTTTTATTGCCGATCATGTGTGCTGGGTGTTCATGCATGCACACACGCAACCACACTGGTTATTCTGGCTGGTCTGCCCTGCCTGTGGCTGCTGCCTCCACATCCAGGCGGACGCATCCCGGAGGCTGCTCTCGCACGCTATGATGGTGGAGATGTGCCGGAAATCAATCAGGATGGGCAGCATCTGGAGTGGCCTACCGTGCTGGAAGCCAACATACTGGGGCTGGGCCATGTGCAGCAGCAGATCTACACGCTCAAGGTCAAGAACCGGCTGCCTGACTTGCAGCCCATCACTGTCACAATGCACGGGATAGCCATGGTGAACCCATCCCTCGATCATTGGGTGGACACCATCCCATGCTCTGCTGTGTCGTTGCCGGAGAACATCACCGTCCTCTGCATGGATGTCGTCAGCAGCAAGGAGGAGCTGCTAGAAAAGCTCAAGAGCGCCAAGGTGTTGTCCATCCGAGCAGCTAATATTGTGGCCTGGGTCAACTACCTCAGCAACCTCACCTCCGAGAGGCATATTGATGACCAAGCGATGAAGGAGTGGCAGGCAATGGACCCGGAGTGTCACAAGTGGACAACACACCGGAGGATGCTGGTCTCGAGGAGCTCGAAGTTCTGGTGCCTGTTGTCCCTGACACACCTGTGCCGGGATCACGTGATGATGCACGAAACCCGGTGGAGCTACACTGTGAGCTGACAGCAGAGCGCCGGCTGGTCTTTGCGTCTGGGGCCGTGGTTCTAAGGTAAGCTGGTAATGGGTGGGTGAAGTGTATTCCCTGATGTGCTGCTACTCTCGTGCGTGACACACCTGCATAAGGCTTGTGCCTCCTCACCGATATGCATATCACAATCGACCTGCCCAATGCATGCTCCTGGCTCTATGCCTCCGCCCTACTGCAGATCCTGGACTACTCCCGGGAAGATGTGCTTGCCAGCAACTTCCCCACCGCATTTCTGTACACCGAGGGCGGCCTCCATCCTCTGGGTATGAGCAACCGGACCTTCTTCCAGCATGTGTCCACATGTGTGCCACGGCGGCAGCTCAGCGGCAACCTCCTCATGCTCGTCCGCATGGTGGACGTGCTCAACATGGAGGACGCAAAAGTGCAGACGTGGGTTACAGTGAAGAGCTGCCAGCAGGACATTGACACGGTGGGGCCCATCCCGCGAGAGGCTGTCAAAGCGATGGCGGACATTCTGGCATTGCTGAAGAGTCACCCGGATCACCACCACCTGCTCCAAGACATGTCACCTCTCGTGCACACCCTCATCACCTCTCTTCGGTGAATGGTCGCACGCATCGACATGACATATGCCTATTACCGCAACGTGCACGCCAATCTACGTGGTGTAGCCGCCGCAACCGGGCTGCCACTCCTCATGCTTAACATCAACCCCGCCGACTTGCACAGTGCGGCTGCAGTCGTGGCCGCTGGGCAGTTTCTGGAATTTGGAGAGGACGGCGCTCTGTTGTGGGAGGAGCGTGTCATGTACAAGTGGTGGCGGGTGCGAAACAACCCCTACACCAGCCAAGCACTCCTCAACACGGTTAAGCTCGCCTTCATGGACATCCTTTTTGGTTTCAAACCTGGTGACAAGCGGCAGAGCAACCCCGACTGCTTCTGTGGCACCATGTTCCACATCTGCATCTGTTACATGGCGGCCTGCGGTGAGGAACTGCATCTCTTCGCAGTGCCCTGCGTGATGGCTGACTTTTGCAATGCAACGCTCCAGTGCTGCTATACTATGCATTCCTAATATGCGGTTTCAGCCGCACATGCCGTACACAAAACACCATACACCCGTGAATGTGAAGCACCAGGGCATGCGACCATGAGTACACACAACGCGTGTGCACGTGAATGTATGACCGCATGAAACCGTACATGTAGTACTGCGAATATTTGCCAAACGCAAGGATGTGAGATGTGCTGTGTGACGGTGAGACAAGTATGTGACAAGGATGTATGGTGGGGATGTGAAGTGTGAGGATGCAACAAAGATGTGAGGTGTGAGGATGCGACAACTGCGACCGTGATGGACTGGGACTGTACTCATGCATCATGGGGATGCGACACGGCCCCATGTATGCACTACAGCGAGGCCGTGAGGACAGGCACCCACCCAGACGTGAGAATGCAACGGCACTAGAACACGAGAACACAAGCATGCGTCCAGGGTGTGGCAATAGCTGGGTTCTGCTCATGATGACCATCAAATGCAGGATTGTCCGCGCAGACTGCTGTTACTCCGCTGCTGACGATGCTGCCACCGTGGTGATTTCATTCAATTAGTGTGATGTGAGCCTAGGCGGCATTATTCACTTCACCGCTCACAATCCGCGGACATTCCTTGTGCCGTGCTGCTATCAGGGCCCCTCATCGATTGCTGTTATGGGTCAATGCTGTTGGATGCCAGACGTGAACCTTGAGAATGCCTTCTGCTACAGCACTGCTGGCTGTGGCTTGCTACTAAGCCACCCTCCATCACAGATATAATGTAACTGAGTCCTCGCCACTGCTTCCTCACATTATTACCGTTCTCACCTACGCACCACACAGCACCTTACGCACCACACACCCACAGCTGGCCTGGGAGTCGAAGCTACGGTCCCCTTCGCGGCGCGCCGCGGTATTGTTACATTATGCCATAGGTTCATCCTTAGGGCAAAGGCTCTACTCGGTTTGGTTGGAGCTGCTTGTCGGGCATCCACGATCCACAAGTTCTGGCGAGAGTTGAAGGTAGGTGTGCACATGAGAATCGAGATGGCGCAGCGGAAGCGTGCGGGGCTCATAACCCCCAGGTCCCAGGATCGAAACCTGGTCTCGATACGCGTTGAGCACCATGCTCCCGATCTTAGCTCAGCTGGAAGAGCGAAGGACTGTAATCGAAAGATGCGATGCTGATATCCTTAGGTCGCCTGCTCGATCCAGGCAGATTGGATCCCGGCTTGGTTGATGTGTACTCCTACCTACACTTGTTCTTCTCGTGTTTTTAGGGTGTTAGGGTGTTTAGGGTGTTTAGCTATAGGGTGTTAGGATGGATGGGTAGGTGCAGTCATGCTAGCTGGATCCAGGGTCCCCACCTGAGGCTTTTGCTAATCGTGTTGGCCTAGCTATAGGAAAAAGCTGGCAAACTCTCCGGTGCCATAAAAACAAGAGATAGAGCAGGCAAAAGGGTGTTATAGAGTTTGGGTTTTCGCATACTGATAAAGCATGGATGGACTGATAATTATAATGCAAGTAGCTGTGGGCTAATTCGCAATTCTGGAATCAGGCATCCCATCATATCCCATCCCATCCAGCAGGAATACAAGTCAGAAATTCAGCACCATGACGAGGACATATTATGAGAAGGGGGTCAGGAATGAATGAATGTCTAAGCCTGCATAATAGTTACATTAGGTGCAGGGCACTGGTCTACTGATGTCCCTTTCACACACATACGGGACATTCTCGCCCAATGTGGGGCTCGAACCCACGACCACAAGGTTAAGAGCCTTGCGCTCTACCGACTGAGCTAACCGGGCAGAAAATGTCCAGATGTAAGTTAACACATCACAATGCCATTGGGATTGGTGCTGCACACAACTTCCACCACTCTGTTTGCCCACCTACCCATACCCATG